GTTTCATGAACATCGGAATGAGATCATTTCCATTTTGTCAGTGGACTCGAATCTATGTTGGTAAGGTGAAGAGAGAAAGCATGAAGGATCAGTAATGGGATAAGGGGAAAGAGAATGGTTGGAGGACCCAGTGTGGGAATAAGTCAGCTCAGAGTGGGGAAGTATTGGACTTTTCAACAAAGGACAAGGGTAGAAAGAAAAGAAATGATCCTTCATTTAATGGGGTCGGTTCAAGATCAAGAAATCCTGAAAACGCTGACAATGGAGAGAGGTAGTCAAGAGTTTGATATCACTTCCCCAAGCATTGGCCTCATAGATATTTTCCAAGGTCACCTTCCAACCACAATTCTCACTCTTCCTTTCACTCTATCCCTCTCCTTTATTTTCTTCCACCCCAGGTGAAGACAACAAGACGGAAGTTTCCTCTCCACGAAGCAGCTGTCCCAAAGGTTCCTATGCCTTTCGTTCCCACTGCTATGCCTTGTTTATGACACCAAAATCCTGGAATGATGCAGATGTGAGTAGATGCATTCGCAGTTACAGGTGATAAGGAAAAGTTTGCTAGAGACCAGAGAGAAAGGGTGTGGTCTCCATTCCCCAGATTTCCAGGGGCAAAAATGAATACCCTCATCTTTTGCGCACACACACTTCTCACCCAGCTAAGCCCCGTCCTTCCCCCAGTGAGATCTCAAGCTCTTCCTCAGTCTCTCCCTTCCCCACACAGATTGCCTGCCAGAAACGACCCTCTGGATTCCTAGTGTCTGTGCTCAGTGGGGCTGAGGCATCCTTCCTGGCTTCTCTGGTCAAGATCAATTTGAACGCCTACTCAAACATCTGGATTGGGATTCACGACCCCACAAAGGTGTGATAACGTCTCCTCTCTGTTATCTCTTTAGCTCATTACCCGGCCCGCTCCCTGTCCCCCATGCCTGCCTAAGAAATACCCTAGAGAACCCCAGAGCGCAGAGATCGGGGGCGATATCCGGGGAAAAAGGAGGACCTCGAGGCTAGCTGAAGAGCTGAGTTTTGTGGAGGACCCTAATCTCCCGTTGAAGCTAATCTGCCTCTTGTCAAGCTTTTACACAGTTGACACATGACATCTTCTAATTCAGTTCTCTGAGCTGCACTGAGTCTACACAGACTGTGCTGTGGAATTCTAAAGGAAGATAAGATGCATTTTCCGCTATAGAACCGATGTTGTTTTTGAGGTTCAGAGAGTTATCATGAATGCGCCACTAATTATTGCTCAGGCAGTAACATGTTACTCTGAGTGGTTCCATTAGTCTTTGTGATTATCGGCTTTGGAATTTGCCAATAGGAGCAAGGATTTAGGGAGAGCTTCCCAGAGGAGAGCTCCATGGCAACTCCTGGATGAGCAGACCAAATTCCATGATGCCAAGTAGGGGATCAGATATCCAGCTGAGGGGATCATGCAAAGAGAACTCTAATGGCCATTCAGCCTCACCTGGCTCCGTCCTCTTTTCTATAGGGCTATGAGCCCAATGCAGGTGGGTGGGAGTGGAGTAGTGACGATGTGCTGAATTACCTTGCTTGGGAGAGAAATCCCGCCACCGTCTCAAACCCCGGCTACTGTGGGAGCCTGTCACGAAACTCAGGTGAGAAACAGGGAGCTACCTTCTGGACAGCCTTTTCATCCCCTCGTTCCCCATTTCTGGGCCTGACCTTCAGGAAATCCTCCTGAGCTAGGAAATGCGATGTTGGTGTGGCTTCTCCCAGCTCCTCTCATCCTTCCTTTCTTTGAGTCTCCTTTCCCTGGAGTGGGGCCTTGGTGGAGATGAGGGAGGGGCTTTGACTCCATGGCAGAGTCTGAGGTGTCTCTCCTTTGGATCACAATCTCCACCAGCCCCATTAACTTGAACTCTTCTGTCTCTCCAGGATATCTCTCATGGAAAGATTATAACTGCAATGAGAGGTTACCCTATATCTGCAAGTTCAAGTACTAGGTCAAGTGGGGTCAGCGACCAGAATTTGGAATGCAGCTCATCATGGACATGGGACCTCGTGAGAAGACTCACCCAGGGAAGAAATCTTCTCCCCACACCGTAAACCTGTCCTCTTCTTTCTAACCTCCCCACCTCCTCAGCCTCATTTCAGGCTTTTTTGTGTTTCATGGCCTTAGGTCTCAGAGGGTTCTAATAAATATTTTACACCATATATGTGTTCTAGTACTTTGTGTTCTAGTCTCAGCAAGACTCTGAGGAAGAAATGCAAGTGGGAGGAAATCTAGGTCTTTTCTTTGTTCAGTTTCATCAGGCCCCCGGGGAAAATGACTAATGTATAGTCCTAGCAATGTACATGTTATGAGTACGTGGGCCCTGTTTGTGGAGGATTTGTGTTTGTGAAGAGAAAAACACTTTCTGCTACACTCTGCTGAGTCTTTCTCATGAAGGTGTGACACCAGGAGGCTTAGTAAAGCTTATGTTAGTACAACAGCACTTCTGAAATTATTTGCCTGATGGAGCGATTATTATTTTTTTTAATTGCAATCTACCTTGGACCATAACATTTTTATAAAATAGAGTAAAAGAAAGATTACTTAAACTCTGGTTACAATGCTGAAATGTGGAGCATTCGAAGTTGTCACGCTTCTTTAAAACAAGAAAAAGATCTGAACAATTTGAATACCAACAACTTGTCTTGAGCTAATAACCCTAAAATCTACAGAGGCCCCAGAGTGCATAGAGCCCTTCTTATATCTGCTTACCTGGAGCAGTAACAGCTAGAGCCATAAACTCTTAGAAACATTAAGTGGTAATTTTGACAAGTTGCCAAAAGCCGAGTATAGATTGTCTTTAAGAGAGAAGTTCCTAGATGCCATAGTCTTAGGGAGATTTCCACATTTTCTTGAGTTTTACTTCTGGAACCCACCAGATTCTTATGAAGAGAAAAATAACTATTTTGAAATCTATCCAGATAAAGACACCACAAGAAAAGAAACAGCATGTCAATGTCCCTGATAAATATAGATGCAAAAATTCTCAGCAAAATATTAGCAAACTGATTTCAACAGAACTTTAAAAAGTTCATACACCATGACCAAGTGGGATTTATTTCTGGGAAGTAAGGATGTTTCAAAATGTGCAAATCAATCAACATGATATACCACATTAATAGACTAAAGGACAAAAATCCCGTGGTCATATCAATAGACACAGAAAATGCTTCCGGAATCTATGGGACAACATCGTACCTGTAGTTAACAATAAGGTATTGTACACTCAAAAATGTGTTAAGAGAAATAGATCTCATATTAAGTGCTGTTATCGAAAAGAAAAGAAAAACCCATAAATAAAAAACAGGACACAAGGAAACTTTCAGAGGTGATGAATATATTTATTACCTTGCTTGTGGTGATAATAAAATGAGTGTATACATATGTCCAAAATACATTAATTATGTGTATTTTTTGTATACTAATTAAACCTCAATAAAGCTAGGGGTTGGTGGAAGAATATAATACCCAGTAACTGTGGAACTCTCCGTGTGGCCAGATCATAGTTATAATGCCATTCTCCAATAAAAGGAACAAGAGCTTCTTGAAGAAATGATTGAATCTAAGATGAGGATAAAAATATATAAAATGAGCCTGGAGCATTTTATTGTGCATAAATTAAGGAAGTGTTTATGAAAATAAAAACCTATTGTTGGGGTTATGTCATTTGGGTCACAGGAGCCAATTGAAAGAGCTCCCAGTGACCAAAGCTGGAAGTATTTGAGAAACAAAATAAATCAAGTAGTATTGGATTATAACTGAAATAATAATGCAAATATCCATGAGTCAATTGATATTATTAATTACATATTATATAATATAAGAAAAGACTAACGTTGCATGCAGAAAAAATTTCAAATAATTAATGGAGCTCCTCCTCGTTCACGGAAAGGGAGCATGATATCCCACAGTTTAAGTAACTTCCTTCCAAAGAGTAAAGCATGGAAAGGTGGTGAAGAAAGAATAACTTTACTGTGGAGAAAACTAACAAACACATATCAGCCAATTGATCAAGATCAATAGCAACAGTTCTAAGTCTTGATGATAATATGTAGCTTTGGTATAATATGATGAGAATGACACTTTATTTCTGTGATCTTCATCTCCAAAATAGATAACTCCAGTCTAATCATGAGGATAAAATACAAACTCCAATAAAAGAGTATTACAAAAAATAACTGGCCAGTTTTCTTCAAAACAATCATAGTATCAAAAAGCAAGCAAATCTAAAGGACATTAGTAAAAATTAAAAAAATCTGAATAAAGCATGAGCTTTAATAATAATATATCAACATGGTTCATTCATTATAACAAGTACTATATTAATGCAAGATATTAATAATAGAGGAACTGGGTACAGGTTATATGGCAAGGCCCTGTATTACCATTGCAATAATTCTGTAAATCGAAAACTATTCTAAATTAAAGGTTTTTTTAATGAATTGCTAAAAACAAAATAAAAAACAAAAACATATATATTACAAGCCCATTTTTAAAAGTTTAAGTTCCATAGACAAAACTAATCTATCAAATTGCTATAAAATTTTCTGAAATCTTACTCTTGTTTTCTGTGCTTACCTGGCCATAGAAAAGGCAACAAACAGTTTGAGAACTAGCACCATTTCATAGACTACACAATTAGTTCCTTATCCCTATAGTTGCTGACTGGAATTATTTTGCTGAGTAATTCTAGGAAAGGGTCTCAATGGATTTTTTGTCCTGTGGCCTGGAAACGTTCTGGCCTCCATTAGGACTAGAGCTGAGAAGACTTAGTATCTGGCAGAATTTCTATGAATATTTATTGAATGAATGAAAAATGGAATAAATGATGCTTTATTTGAAAAACACCACTTACATGAGTGAAGAAGGATAAGATTTTCAATGAATCTAAATATTTTTAGACTATTCACTACCTTACTGCTTTCACCTTCCCAGCCTCAGATCTTGTGCAAAAATAAAGTATTTGGTCAGTTTCCTCAACTGAAAGGGGGATGGGACCTTGTCCAAAATCTTTTATATGAGCCTGGAGTAACTCAGCATTGCTACATTAGTGGGCCTGCCAGATAAAATACAAGACTCCTAGCTAAACTTGAAATTCTGATAACAGTTTTTTAGTAAAAATGTTACTTCTTTGCTCATTCTGGCAGATATTGCATATTTGCCAAATCTAGTGATACTATATGTAGAGGTTTTCATTCTCAAATAGATGGACATGAATAGCCAGTGTCTACTTTTCTAAATTGATGTTCCATAAGTTTCCTGTACTCTTTCTAAGATAGGCTACGTATCTTCAGAGAGGGAAGATCAGCAATTGATTCTGAAACTTAACTAAAAGCACATCTAGTCCTTTAGGTAAAGAATTTTTTTCTGTTATTATCTGTCAAAGTTAGAGAGTATTTTTCTCTTTATTCTCTAAAATATGTTGTATGGGATTGGAAATATATGTTTTTTAGTAGTTTGGGGAAGTCTTCCAGAAACAATCTTGACCTGAAGTTTTCTGTGTAAGAAGATTCTTTAAAAATGTAGATTAAATTTCTTTAATAGTCATAGTAGGACTTTCAACTTTTTCTTAATTTCTCCTACAAGAATTAAAATTTTTTCAACTCCATACATTTGAAAAAAGAAAGAAACCCATGTAGGGGTTGCATAATTGAAAAGGAAATAATGACAGTAGTCCTTGGCATCCTGTGCTCCGACTCCTTCACTGGCCAAAAAGTCCAACCCCCCTTTGCCCTGTATGTGGGCATGTCTTACAAAGAGATTGTTCACAGCTCTTCCAAGGCTCTGGGCTGTGTAAGTGACCATACTCTTCAATCCTGGGAAAACTAGATGAGTGAAGATGGATCTGTGGTGTATTATTATCCTGAGGGACCAGTGAATGCAATTCTAGCAGCTCCGAACTGTTTCAATAGTGCATTAGGTACACAATGTTTCTTCTTCTGTCCGTCAGAGCAAAACCAGGTGTTCTTTAGTTATTGTCTTTAAAGTTTCTTAAATTGGTGGACAGGGCAGGATTCATCATGTTTAGAAGGAATGAGAAAAAGCTGTTGATATATTTTTGACATATTTTTAATAAATTGACATATTTTTCCTAGATACAAGAAGAGAGAAAAAATATCAAACTACTATTAATTCAACTACTTTTTATTAAAATAAAAGTGATAACATTCTCTAGGACAAGTACACACCCATGGGAAAGTCAATAGACAAAAAGGGGAAATTTTAGTATCACAGGTAAATTTTATGCCACCTGTTAAAGGTGTCCTTGCTGTCATATCGCTATCATCAAATCAGGAATTAAACAAATAAAAGGCAGAATATGGGGTCTTAATAAGAAATAAGAAATAATATTCCCCCAAGAAAATAAGGCCCATTTGTCTACTTAGTGATCACTCTCAGCACTGTCTTGCCTCGAGGGCTGGATGCCTAGAGCATTAGGTAGAAACCCATGGCTTTTCAGCTGATGGTTGATTTAAAAGAAGCCACATCAGCAAGGTTGATATGGGAAGCCTTGAGGTCTTTCTGGGGCTGTTTCTGATTTGGGAATTCATCTATTTTTCTTCATTAGTATCCTTTGCTATAGCTTTAATTCAGCAGTGGGAATAAAGTGAAAAAGAAACTCGACTGGAATTGGTAAAACAGATTTTTATTTCTGCTATATCTCTTCTTAGCTCTGTATCTAAGCTACCCCTCATTCTTTAAGAGAGAGAAACTTTCAATGCCCCTTGTCCCTTCAAGGAGATCTGCAAACACCAGCAAGTATTAAAGCAATTGCCTCAAACTACTCCCTTCCATCCAGGTTTTTCTCATTCCAGCTTTGTTAATGCCTTGTGTCTGTTTTCCACTACTTCCAAGATTTTTGCTCTGAACTGAAACCTTGAACTCTATTCCTGGTATCTTCAAATGTAGTGTTTTATGTGCTTTCTCAGTTGGATTAAATTATACATAATG